GCGCAGGTCCATACCAGCGTGCCACTCGTCGTCGAGGAATGTCCAGGAGCTGGTGAGATCTCTCTTTCCGGTCCGCTGGAGGCTGGTAGCGCTTGTAGTAGACCAGATCACCTGGGTGATAGCGAACCGGTGGCTGCATGCGGGTGTTTGCCGCCTGGTTGATCTTTTGCTGCAAAGTCAGCTTCCGGTGGAGGTTCTCTGCTTGTAGCCTTTGCTCCAGCCTGTCCTTCATCTTCTCCTCCGCGCTCATCCCTGACCAATAGGGTAGATCAGGTCCATCATGAAGTCGGTCGGCTTCGGTAGGATTTCTTCCAAAGACCCACTGCATTGGTGAATAGCCGCCAACGTTGCTCATGCTATTGTGAGCTGCAATCATAGCCCAGGTAGCGATCTCTGGAGGTGCATCTGTCGACCTCAAATGTGCCATGAGCTTGTTCTTCAGGTTGCCGATCAAGCGTTCAACTTGACCAATGGAGCCATGATGCTCTGCAGGGATGGCCTCAATCTCAATGCCATGGCCCTCGGCCCATTCTTCAAGCTGTCGGCCACGATGTGCTCCTTCCTTGTCCAGCTTGATGCACTTGGGGTAGCCGAAGTACTGGATCCATCCTTGATGCAGTGCTTGCAGCATCTCAGCTGTTGTAGGATTCTGGCTGGCAGAGATGTGGTGCTTAAAGAGGAAGTTTGCTGCCCCGTAGGATGAAGCCTCATCCACAATCACCTGGAAGTGAAAGGTCTCCTCCCCGACGGTGAACTCCATGTTGTCCAACTGAATCACCTCCCAGAGCTCAGTAGCCTGCTCCAGGGTCACTGCACGTCGGGAAGGTGGAATTGATGACTCCTCACAATCCATGCAGTGCAGGTTGGCAGCAATGGTCTTGACCATAGTGGAAGCACCGCGATCTCTGAGCATCTTGATGAAGACTTGTCGTCCAGGATGCCCGAGCTTCTTGTGCAGGTTCATGAGATCGGTGGCCACTCGCATCAGCTCTTGATCTGTGCTCTTCAAGACAGACGTTGGGTCATAGTCCGGCGTCTTCTCCACAGCCATGACTTGATCATCGATGTGCTCGTGGATGAACTTGACCAATCTTGCAACCTTGTCGCAGAGCTGCTTGGGATATAGAGCTGAGAGTCGAGTGCGTTCACCTCCTTCGCAAGGAACATGTGGTTCCTTGCACTGGCAAGGTCGTTGAAGTTGCCATACCAGTTGTGAAGTGCTCTTCACCCTCCAGGGCTTCTTCATCAAGCCGCCTTCAGGTGCCTTCAAACCATAGGCGCATCCATCAAAGAGGGCCTCATAGCCTCCTTGCTGCCGCCAGAAGTTCTGGATGCAGGAGAAGTTCCACGCCCGATTGCGCTTGGGCCATTCCTGAAACACTTCTCCGCCTTGTTGGATCTGGAGCTCCATGATGATCACTGCGCGGCCAGCCAGCCGCTTTGACCGTTGAACTTTCTTCTCAATCTTGACTCTTCCTTCTTCAGTCAACTTGTTGAGCTCCTGGATCCCCGAAGTCGGCCCACAAGGCAGCGATACCCAAAGTACATCGGGCTTATAGGTCTTCATGAGCTGGATGACCTTGTTGAAACCTGACTTCTTGCTGAGGTCGCAGTCGTTGAAAAGACCACAGCAAATTCCCATGCCTCCTTGAGCTTCCAAAGCGGTGGTGAGTCCACTATTTTCCTCACAACACAGTTCCATGATCTTGGGAGGCTTGTGTGTTTGATCTGCCTTCAAACTCATCAGGATGTCCTCGCACTCCTGCTCATAGTCCTCAGCCATTGAAAGCAGGAAGGCAGTGTCAGATTCGGTCAGCCTTCGGCCTTGGCCGGGGTCGTCACTATCAAAAGATTGGGGCTGCTGACCTTTCTTCTTCCGCTTCTTGCCACTGGCCGACATATCAGGCAAAATGCCTGACGGTGGCAAAATGCATGCCATCATCTCCGGTGAAACTGCCGCCATCACGGACTCCCAGGTAGTACTCGTCCATGATCTCCTTGGACACAATCTCCTGCTGGTTGGGATCCATTGGCCTCGGCGGTGAAGGTGCGGTGGAAGATGAAAAACTGCTTGTAGTACATGCAAAACTTGGTGAGGATCGCCGCAAAGGGATAGTTTCCTCATCTGGTCGTTGTGAAACTGGTGAGACTCGAGAACCTTGATCTGCCTGAGCCTTCTTGAGCTTGGTCTTCACATCGAGGTTGGGCTCACGGGCGTCACTCTCTCCCATTCCTCCGCCTCCTCGTTTCCCTGCTGTTGATGGACCTCGTACTCCTCCGCCACTTGCTCCGGCAAACGAGCATTCTTCTTGCTCCCCGTCAGGGCCATGACCTGGTCGTCCGGTTTGTGGTAGCCCTCCTTGTATAGGCGTCGTAGGTCGCTCGATTCCTTGGCCCGAAGATGGTTTCCCGGGGGAGCCCGAAGTGGTCTCGGCAGCGTGCTGGTCCTTGCGGCGTTGAGTGGTCAGCCATTGCTCCTTCTGCTTCTTGATGGTCTCCATGCGCTTCTCCAAGGAGCGTTCTGCCGCATCCAGGCCGATCTTCTTGTCCTTCAGCTCGATGCTCCGCTTGTCTGGCTTCTTCTCCACCAGCTGAGTCACGGTGTCGGCTGCCAACGGTCCTGCCTGGCATGTCAAGCCGTGAGCTCCGAAGGCTGGAGTGTAGCTCAGTCGAATCCCACACTCCGAGCAGCCGACCCACGTGGCATGGGCGTTGCTGCCCGTGTTCGAGCCGCGTCCCGGCATCGATGGCGTGTGTTCGCCATGGCATGGCGGTCCTGTCGCCCGAGGGTCGTCCTTGTTGATCCCCTGAGTGCGACTGTAGTCGAACCGCTCCGAAGCTGGTGTGATGGCCTTCTTCTTCTCCTTCGCCTTGGGTGCCATGCGCTCGGAGGGGATCGTTGACCAGGGCAGAAAGAACGCCGTCCCGCATCCCTTGATCAGCTTGCGCCAAAGAGCGTCGGTGGTGATCATGAGGATCAATCATGTATGCAGCTTCATGATCTTCACCTGACTCATGACCTTCTGCCTCACTGCAACATTCCACCACAAGAGCTTGCTCATGAACTTGGTGTGAATCACAAAGGAGGCCATGCTCAGGGTGCACAAAGTTCAACATGTCATGAGTTGGTTGTCGTGAGTGGGCTTGATGACTCATGAGATCAACTGCGCACAGAGGACTGCTCGCCTTGTATGCCGCACGAGGTTGTGGTGCCAAGTGCTCCAAGGGCTGGCCCATGGTGAGCCAGTCAGTGCGAAGATCAACTAGCAAATGTCCCGCCTTGCTCTTTCCAAGTGGGATCTTCAAGTTGGGGGCCACATTGGCCAACACCATCCAGCGGCCACTCACGTCAATCACAGCTCCAAGGCGATCAAGAGTGCGCATGCCAATGAGGATTGGCACCTTCTCAGCATCGAGGGTGAACATGCCCAGCATCACGCTGTTCTCTCCAAGCTTCTGAGGCACGAGGACAAAGGATTCACTATACTTGATGCCACCATTGCCAAAGCGAAAAGGCTTGATGGCCGTGGGTCCAGTGAAGACTTTGATGTCTTCTTTCCATCCTTGGGCATGTTGTCGGTGCCACATCAGCATCTCCAAGGCTTCTAGGGATCCAACCGTCTCGGTGGCTCCAAGGTCCAGGACTCCATAGCCTGAAGTGTCACCAGTGACCAGCTCGTGGGTGGCCATGCCGATGAAGTCAAAGTCCAATGAACTCGGTGTCATAGATTCCACCCAAAAGGTTCCTTTGCGAAAACCTTTTCCAGTCGTAGGTGAGCTACTGGCACTGCGCTTTGGGCAATTGCGGAACCCATGGGGATGAAGCAGCCAGTCGATGAGGAGTCCGCTGCCAACACGGTCTCACTGGTCATGAAGGTCGAAGGCATAGAGCTGCTCGTTGATGTAGAGGTCATAGGAGGGCGTCCTTTACCCTTCTTGCCTTTGCTCTTTCCTTTTCCTTTCTTGCCCTTTGAACAAGGATGGAGGGTAGAATCCTCGGCTCTTTCCTTTTGCTCTCTGGAACTGACGGCTCTGCAGGAAGGTCTTTGCCTTGTTCTCATAGACCGCATAGGCCTCTTCCAACTCCTTGTTCTCTTCAGGGGTGAGGTCGTCCATGTAGCTGTCATCACAGGCCCAGTAGGCTCCATGACCATCGGTCTCATACCACTCGCCTGACCAATCCATGGCATATCCATGCCAGCCATCACTTTCGCGAGTCCAGTAGATCTCCTGATCTTCTTCGGGCGAAGTCTCCATAGGACCAGGGTCGTATACTTCAGGAGGAAGCTGGTGGCCAACCCAATGCACTTCAGCATTGACCTCATCCATGGTGGTCTCATCCTGGTTCACCAGGAGTCCTCAGGAACCAGACTCTTCGACCCAGTAGGTGTGCCTCTTCGAAGGGTGTCGTGAAGCATCAGCTTGTAGAAGTTCTTCTTCTTGGTCTCGAAGGGCGGTCTCAATGTCACGGAAGGTGAGGCTGTTCTGAACGCTGGCTTGGACCGACAACCTGCTAGCAGCACTCAGGTTGGCTCGTCGAAGAAGCAGCCAGCCAAGAACTTCATCTGGTAGGACTTGGATGTCCTCAATCTCCAACTCATCCCAGGGTAGATCTTCTCCCGGTGACGATGTGTCGTTGTCCGAGTCCTCCCAATGACGTCGTTCTCGTCGCCACTGTCGCCATTCTTCTGCGGTCCAACCTTCCTCTTGCTGCCAGGGATCATCATGACCTTCTTCTCGTGCATCTTGTTCACCAGGCTCTCCAATGTCATCTTGAGGTCGGAGCTCCGGTGCTCGTGCCGTCGGCGACGATGGGGAGGTGGTCGTAGTGTCCGCTGCTGCTCTGGCCGTAGGCGAGGAGGGCGGTGTAGGTGAGCGGCTTGGTGGCTCAGCTTGAGGCTCCGATTGCAAGCTTCGTGCCACAGGTGCATCTGAAACCGTTACCTGTGGTTTCTTCTGTTGTCGGGCTCGAACCAAGGCTCGCTGCACCTTGCGGTAAGCTTCAAGGACATAGGATGACCATTGGCTCATTGGCATCCCCAAAGGTCTTCTCAACCTGATCAGCAGATCTTCCAAGCGAGCACCAGCATCAGGCACAGCAGTCCGGCATAGCCGGCTTTGCAAGAACTTCAA